AAGATAATTAACAGACTTTTTGTGTCACTATTACTATGTCATTCTGTTGGTACACATGTGCGCAAGGTAATTGTGTCACCTTACTGTCACAAGCGGTCAGCAGACTGTCTTTTGGAAGTTTGAGCCGGGGTTCTGGGCTGCAATAGTCAGTCATGAGTTTCATATCAGGGTGGAACCTGCTCGTGGGACCAAGAGCGGGAGATGAAAAATGCAGGCAAAGCGCATTCATTCATTGCATCTGGCTGCTGCTGCTAATTGCCAGACCTTTTGTTTGTCTTGCAAGGAGCGCTGAGGTTTGAATAGTGTTATTGGGTTTAAGTTTCCGCTGGGAATCATTATCGGTGAGGGTCAAGCAAATTTCAAGACTATTCATTAATAAACCACTGAATCACAAGGGAGCACATTAATTAAAAGCAAAAGGCAAAGTGTGTGTTAAAGTAAAGTAGCTCCACAAAGTCATTTAGTGGGGCTTGCCACTGATGCTGCCGGGAAGGAGGCTGTTGGCCTAGCGCTGGGAGTGAGCGTTCATCATAGATATTCTGACGGTAATATGTCACATAGGCTATGAAAGATTCAAAAATAGTTTTGTCGTGTAATCAGGCGGCTCAAAGTATAGTTATACAGTTATACACTTTCAATAGCTTTAATAGCAGGAGTGGGCACAGCTAGACTTAGCAATCATTTAGACATTACAAATTGGATAGGGTTGTGTTGGCAAAATGTTCTCCCCTCGATGCTCAAGTCAATTGTAGAATGTAAAAGTAGCAGGTTGTTAGTTCAATAATATGCATCAATCTAAAAGGCGTGTGCCCAATTCATCAGGATATTTGAAACAGTTTAAATGCAATTTGTGGACCATCATTTGGGTAACTTTGTGCAAAATGAGTTCACTGCCAGTGCTGTGCAGGTGTGAGTGATCACACGTTGGTCAGCAAACCTGTGTTGTTAAAAAAAGTGAGCCACACACGTATATGGGAGCAAATTGAAACATTGGTCCGCAACGGTTGTGATTGCTTCCTTGGTGGTGCCTATCGTCTCCTCGTCGAGGATCAACACCTTCATACCAGAGATCCTGTCGACCATTGCCTGTGCCAGCGATTACTACTGCAGAATCTTAGCATGCTTCCACTGGCAAACATGTGGTGTGACCGTGACCTACTTTACATTACGTATGATGTGTGCAGTTTCCCCAAATGAAGAAGTTGGAGGCCATCGCTCTTAGGTTGGAGGCCATCGCTACTAGCGCTAGTAGGGTGGAGGCCATCGCAATTAGGAAAATGAAGAAGTCGATGTTTGGCTCGAGAACTGAGATCGGCTCTTGGACGTACTCCTGCACCCCCGCCGCAATGCTCAAAGATGCCATGGTCTGAGCAAAGAAAATGGCAAGACACAGTGCCCCTCACCAAACATTTGTACTGAATCTGTCCATGTGGCAAAATCTAGTAAGGCCTTCAAATGGCACTATACTCAATTTGATGGAGCCCACACGAGCCCTTTGACTCCTACTACAGTAGTACCTTGGACAATGTGGCAGAGTGGTGGCAATTGAATCAACCAGCAAGCAGGACAAACTCAAGTGCCTCTTGCAAGTGATCCGCACTGTTGGTGACCAAAGGCTGGTCAAGCAGCTAAACAAAAAGTTCGACGCCTTCATGTCAGTTTGGCTTCTGGTGGAAATCGGTTACTGGGAGTATGAAACAAACACAGCTGGTTCTAAGCCAGAGGATCAGCCGTCTGAACCTGCATCTCTGCTAGCAATTGGTTTAATATGGTATAATTATAGGTAGTATGGCGATATGTGGTATTGTGTGGTGATTGCCGATGTGTTCAGAGCCTGTTGACTAGATTGTGGTAAATAGCTTCCTAGATCCAAATCCTGCGCCATGTTGAGCCATATCACATCGAATGGAAATCATGGAGTTGCTTGTTTTGAGATGCCAATCTTCACGGGCGAACAAAAGGTCTTCTGCATATATTTTGCAAGGGGTGCCTTCGTGCCACAGCAAATCCCACTATGCAGCGGTCGTTGCCCATTTCACGAGAGCACCGCGAACATATCACAATACAACGCTAGAGTTCCAAGTCCTCTCTCAGCAAAACCAAAACAAGCCATTGCTTTGCATCTGTGCTGGGGTGTTGTTGACTCTTGCTCGGTTCCTGTGCGAAGCATTTTGGCAGCTGTGCCCCGAAAGGATGAAAGAATGTGACTCGTTGGCCATGGAAAATGCACAGGGCATAGGGACGGACAACAAATGACAACAATCTAACTTCGGACTGTCTTGGATTTGAGCAAGTAATTGAGGGGAATGCCAAAAATCTACACAATAAATGTTAACAAATCACTTTGTCCTCAAAATGCCCTGCTGGTTCGAATCAGCTCCGTACACTGGACTTGATCTTTTAGAAGGGAAACTTGGGTGGTTCCATTAAAAACGGAGCTTCGCATGTAAATTCGAGTCTTGTGATTCAGAAACAGGCCGCATCTTAGCCATTTGGCGCCTAAAGTCCCTAGAGTACTGCTGTGTGCTTAGCTTTCAAATTTAGCCTGGTATCTATCCAGACCCAACGTGAACAAGATTGTCTGCTGAACCCATTTTTTGTGGTGCCTCCGCTCGTACATGTTACTGACCGAGTTCTGCTGAACATATTTGAGCAGTTTACAGTAATTAGAAGCTACTAGGAACAAGTGCATCACTTCTAGTAACAAGTGCCTTACTTGTAGTAACAAGAAGCTAGTAGAAACAATAATTTTCAATTTAATTAATACTGTTACTGACCGAGTTCTGCAGAACATATTTCTACTAGCTGCTAGCTTCTTGTTACTACTAGTAAGGCACTTGTTACTAGTAGCGATGCACTTGTTCCTACAGTAGTAGCTTCTAATTAAACTCTAATCTATATAAGCAGCAGATCCATGTATCGTATGTATGGTTGGTCCATAGTCGATCTTGTCCAGCATTTGGAACCGTTCGTCTCAATGAAAAGGTGAGGAGGGTGATCAATCTGTGAAACCTACAATATACTTAACGAGTCCTTTCACTTGGAGGCCATCGCTGTTAGGTTGGAGGCCATTGCTTTCAGGAATCATCATTCAAGCACTCAAACCAACAATGGAGAAAGCTGCCGTCGCTTCTTTCCTGGCCCGGCAAATCAAGGATGGCTTTTCACAGCAGGATTCTAAATCAATCTCAAATCTCAAGAGCGGTTCAGCCAAGTCTGTGAGGGCAAGTCGCACAACAGACTGTTCTCACTCATTTTTTCGGCCGAGCAGCTCCTTTCATCTCCCGCTGGAGTAGCAAGCCAAGAACTTTTTCCAAACTGAAAGATTCGCATCTGACTGATTCGACATACCATTCAAGACGTAAGAGGAAAGGTCCCATATAGAAAAGGTGAGGCTGCACGGCTGCACCTTTCTGGAGTGGCTCCTCCTCGTGCGAACTAAGTGCGACTTTGTTTCTGAACCTGGTGGGTCTTTACATCTTCCGTACATGGCAGCTTGCTCAGATGAGTGCGCCCCGAAACGAGAAAACAACTTGGGAGCAGGCATCGAATCTCAAAGCTCAAGATCTTGGAAAGTTCTCAACATCCGCTGACGGAGCTTTCCAGGACTCTGCAGGAGTCTCATGGAAAAAAGCGAAACAGGGTGCAACTACATCGTCTCATCGCAGATGTGATGACAGTAGCAAAAGCATCGGATCTCAGCGTCTTCCGTGGAATCGCTCCAAGCAGTGTGTCAAAGCTTACTAGGACATGCAAGAACATAATGCGCAAAAAAGTAAAAAACAATCCGTACGAGTATGGTAGCTCCAAGCGGCGGCAGGAATGGTCGACTGATTGCAAGAAATCTGACGGGAGGAATGTGCCTGTTCGTCGATTTTTCCAATCTTTCGACAATTCCTCCTGCCACTTGGAGCATTGACGCAAGAAGCACGATATTATCATATATTGCACTTGCAGCTTGAATCCTGTCAGAAAGAGCTTTGAAGGAAGGAGCACAGTAGTGGAACAAAGGGGAAACAACATAAATCTAGAATTGTGCAGCCCGACTTTTGTCTGCTTCTTCCCACCACTGCTTGCCGCTGGAAGACTATAGACTTCAATCCAGCAAAAAGGGAGGCACGGTCGGAATGGCCTTTGAGCTGACGATTCGTTTTTAGAGCAAGGGATGGTGTCGGAAGCACGACTCATGAGCATCCACAGACGTTGGCTGAAGTGTAGCCTGCATCTCGAGCATCCTCACAATGTCCTCTTTCACTTGGACTTCCGTCTTCACCCTTGAGGCCCTTGCCAGTCTGGGTCGGTGGTGTTCTTCAAAAAAGTCACCACCATGCCAAAAGACGAAGCGGCGTCACTGTCTGACCCTGTTCAACGGCTGCTAGATGTTGGGGCACAATGAGGCACTGACGCACCTTTGCGAACCAAACCTTGCGGTTTGTGCCTGTAACCATGTGACAACTCCTGTCGAAAAGTCCACGTAGGAGAAGTCCAGGTCCAAGCTTTAATCAGCTAAGTCCCACATCTGTCGGCGAGGTCCCACATCTCCTGAACAGCAGCCCGCCAAAGCGTGGAACGTCAAATCTGGGGTTGCATTCAATAGTGGTGGGAGTACAGTTTAGAGGGCTCACAAGTCACCCCGTGTGCAAACAAAGGACAGCTTTTCATTTCATAAAAAATGGTTCAATTTTATTGAATATATAAACGCTTCCAATTGTGCCATGTGCTGCCAGAATTAGACCAGTCATGACAGAGCAAATGTTCTAAGCATTGCTATCTATTTTTTGGCACCGTGTGTTTGGTACGAGGCGGGGGAGATATCAAAGAATGAGCAAACTCTACGAACTAAGTAAGTAAGTAAGGCACATCATCATGTTGACAGACTCATAGACAAAAACAAACACGAAAGCAACACACTGAGAGTACAATGTGTACTGGGTACAAGCATATGCGCTCAAACATGCAAATAGAAAGACAACTCACCATGTGCGTTTTGTCTACACCTTTTACCCACAAACGTAGGAATCGGGAGTCGGAGTTCTGTCCTGCAAGGATGAGAACTGAGCGACATGGCTGCAATTGCCCGACCGTTGCTTGGGTGGCCAACACTGACGTTGAAAGCAGTCAAAGTGCAGCTCCCCCACTGCGCGTCTAGGCAGTGGTGCCAATCGTGACAATGGCCATTCACAGCCTGAGTCAAACATGACGTTTACAGAGACAGGCTCTTGGATTCAATTTCTACAAGCGCCCGTGGGTAAAGAAAGCATTCATGGTTTGAAATAGCCATTCGCTTGGCTTGCTAACAGTAAGGGGCAGGCGCTAAGCTCATGCTTTTTGCAAAAAGCAGAGAAGTTGAAGTGGGCATATAAATACTGTAGATCATATAGAAACATAATATGTAGTTTATATAATACAATGAAGCCTTGTGACGTCCATTTCCGAACAGTCCGGTTGCATAAATCGTTTTGGAAAACAGCTTTTCGCTGCCTTCACAGTCCAGCTTCAAGAGGTCAAAGCTTTCCCAACCAACGTGACTGAGAATGTCTTTGAGGTTCAAGGCTGGCACCTGGTGCCACTGCGGCTCACTTTGTGCTTCACTTTGTGCTTGATTTGAGTTTCTCATGTTACATGTTCCGTTACATTCACTTGTGAAGCCATTTTCAGAGCTTGATCTGACACTTCGATGTGACCGATTTAATGTCTGGCCTTCACGGCAGAGCCGTCCGATGCTTTGCCAGTGAAGGTACGCATGGCCAGGTTCATGCAAGTGTTCACTGGACCACCAACCCATGGTTCCTTACCTGCAACACAAGCAAACGGGACTGGTCAGCAATGGTCGCAAATTGTGAAGGCATGGACAAACAATTACAATGTCTTGTCTGGCTTCATTTTTCTTATATCAATGTTATGAACAACTCAACGGTGACTCGCACTCTTTGACGAGCAATCCAGTCGGTCAAGCCGATGCCGCACCATGCAACACCATCTTGCACTCACAAAATCCTCAAGACTCAAGCCATTTGCTGGCAAGCCACATGGCTCAATGAAGAGTTCTGTGTTGCCCAAAGCAGCGCAAAGGGGCCAAACGCGATGTGTCAAATTGTGTGAGCGGATGTTCCACAGCAAGAAGCGGCACAAAAGCCTGAGTCAGGCAAGGGTAACGCAATGATCATAAAGCTCGTCACAGGTGATTCAAAGTTAGATCTTCATTGCTTGAACCAAATGCCAAATGTGTTACATGAACATGAGCGTTCCTTTTGTCCCCAGCTGCGGGTTGGGCTCAAGGACCATGAGACGTGCAAAGGGCTGATGCTGTGCCAAGGCTACTGCCACACCGCCGTAGTTGGCGCCAATATCCACAATCCGTGCGAAGGCGTTTGGAGACCTCGTATCTTTGGACGTGGTTGGAATGACTTCCAGAATGATCGGATCACCACTCACCTCATCTCACCTCCATCATCATTGACTCCTGGATCTCTTGACGCTTCTTCCCTTGCAGCTGCGTTGCTCGGACTCTAGCTGATAGAGGTGGATATCAGGCATATCGCCTGGATGAAGCAAATCAATTCACCCCTTACTTTCACAATGCATCCGTTTGTCAACATCTCAGATTTTTGGGCTGTGCTTGTATCGTTTGAGGCTGTATGATTCACGTCAGCTAGTTCCTCTGAGGTCATGATGAGCATTCAGGCAGGTTCGGACGAGTTGCATTTGGTTGTGTGTGCATTTTGTTTCTGAAGTGGTATGTGACTGTGTCGCTCTCAGTCACGAGCTGGCTCGTGTCGCTGAGTAGTCCATCCGTCCGAAATCAAAGGCCTTCTCTATCTCTAAATATATATAATGTCAAGTCAGGATTTATCCGAGCCCACAAAGCCCCCGGAAATCCTCGGAAATTGCACAAATTAGACGTATTACTTGTGGCTGATTTCCCCTAATTCTCTAGTTGGGCACCGGACCACCCCGAGCGAACCCGAGCCCACAACCAGGTCAATTTTTCGCATTACTACTACTACTACTACAACTGCTACTGCTGCTGCTACTACTGCTGCTGCTACTGCTACTGCTACTGCTAGTCCTACTCCTACTCCTACTAGTACTACTAGTACTACTAGTACTACTAGTACTACTAGTACTACTACTACTACTACTACTACTACTACTACTACTCGCTTCTTAGCGGATTAGCATATTGTTTAGGAGAGGTGGACCTCATGAGTGGTATCTCATATCTTCTTGACCTTGTTGACCTACCATGTGGGGGAGGGGGGGTTATTAATCCGGTCTTGACATTACTGTAGAACACAGGCATTCAGCTGCTGTTGTGCAAATGGCTAGAGTCCTTGCATGGCTGCACAGTGTGAGCACATTTTCAATCAGATCTGGCTATTCTGTTGGCCATGAGGAAGCTAACAGCAGATTCTTATAAGTTTTTCTGAAAATCTCATCTCGGAAACGCTTCTTACAACGACACTTCTATTGCATCCTTATGGACGTCCGTAGCCAAAGTGTTTAGGAAGTTGACTGCTGAGAGCTTCTGACTTTGCTTCCTACCTTGTCCTAACCCTGAGTGTCTGAGGATCGTCATCCACGCCTTTGAAGACATAGAGCTGCAAACTTCCAGAGGAGAGCTGCACCTCTTTAGTTCGAGCTGCATAGCGAATCAACTCCTCCCACTCTTGCCTAGCAGGCTTTTGCAAACATCATCCTTGTCAAATGCCAACATTTGTGTAGAAGAACATCCATCTGTTTGCGCTGTATCCGTGCTGATTAATTTTTCCCCAGGTGTGTTTCGGGGGCCTCTCATGTTTGGGTATAAATGACTGAAAGGCTGCCACAGGCTGTGGGGTAAACTTAAGGATCAATTTTCTGCAGCCAAATCACTGCTCCTGCGAATAGGCTGGATGATTTTGGCTCCAGTCATCTGGATCGGGGAATGACACAGTTGGTGCCACTGTCAAAGGATATGGATCCAAAATAGCCCAGTTGCTCTGGCAACCTGGAGACTTGTTCGATCTGGCAATATCTCGCAATATACTTGTGCATGATGGCTTGGTGGTACCAAATCCAGACGTGGCCAAATCTACATGGACTGAATTTACTGCAGCAAGTAGGTACACTGCAAATACTCAAAAGTGCCAGGAGGCACTCAAACTGCGTGAAGTAGTGATGATCAAACATACACTTCTCGATGTTGCCGGTATTGCTGCAGCACAGCTCTGGAGTGAGTTCTTCACCCCAACCTCAAGCAGCTCCAAGCAAAAACTGAGCAAGAGTCAGTCTGCAACAGGCAGTAATGCAATTCACATTGTGCCAAGTGTTTGCTCACACTCATCCTGACTTTTGCGCAGCCTGCACTTTCCTGATTCCCTGAAACAAAAGCGCACGGACATACAAGGACTGAGGACTCCGGGCAATATTGCCGCGGTGGAAGAGCGAGAACTTGAAGCTCCAATAGTGTTGCAAGCCTGAGTTGTGGAGATGGAAGGAAATAAAAGCTGATGCAGAAGACACCAAACCAAAGCACACAAAACCTTACCCCCCAAAAATGCCAAGCAACGCCAAAGCTGTTGCCATATTTCGACATGATATGCGTGGGAGTGTTGTGTTGAGATTAGCAACAAGACTTACTGACAGTTAGTGATGAATGAACTTGGTGCAAGTGCATCTGCAGCACTGAAATCAGTTTCTGCCTTTGCAGCGTCCTATTCAAGCTTGTAGCCCGAAAAAGCACAAACAAGGTCACTTGAACCAGGACTCTGCAGTTGCAAGCGTGTGGACTTGCATGTCAATTTGAAACCAACCATTCGAACGTTCCAAAGCTATCCAATGCACATGCACACAAACCTTTTGTTTGATCCAGTTGCAAAAGCATTGTTGATTCAACTTTGTCGACCACCCAAGGCTCAACTGAAAACATATCAGTACTTGCATGCTCTTGATTACAACTAACTAGCTGGGAGTTGATTGGCTTGGTGATTGTACTCATTTCTCCAAGTCAACAGGAAGCAATGCTTGCTCAAGATTGCTTTTAAACCCCTTCAGCGCTGTGTGCCTGGAATTGTTGCGGAGTTCTTGCATGCTCAAGACTGAAGGCATTTTGCGGCAGCCATGCCATGCGCAGCGAGGAAGTGCTCTCACACAAATCAACCGAATTTGTCCAAGCATGTTGTCAATGATCAGGGGGGATTGTGGGGTCGCTTGGTTTATATACTCTTTTCTGCTTGCTCTGCCATGGTGATGTCTTGCCACGCGCACAAGTTACAACTAGTAACTAGCAGGTATCCATACCAACCTGCAAACAGGACCTTCTGAAGACGTGTCAAAATCATGTATATAATAGAGCTACCACAGCTGCGAGAAAGCACTTCAGCTAAGTGAGTAATTAAAGGCACACTAATCAACCAAAGGTCGTCCATACACTGGCACAAAAGCATCAGTATGCTGGGTACAAACTACAGAGTCCTCTTGCCTAGTCTCCAATAATTGGAAAGAAAGACTCTGAAACTCTGTAATTATTGCATGCCAAACTCTGTTTCTCGCCGCGTGCTGTTGAGACTCTGAAACTCACCAGGTGTAGGGGTTTTCAGGGAGCCCACGCGGATAAATGGGTTGGCACGACTCACCAGCAAGGCAATTGAATCTGCCTGGAACCGGCAAAAAGTGAGCAGTACTGTGTTGCTGGTATAGTAGAAACGGTCCGTTTGAAACGCGGGAGTTGCTGGAAAAAGGACAACATGTCATGTGTGTGGCCATGGCAAAGCGGATTTCTTCAGTACAGTCAATAGTATAGGGACGCTGCGGGTTGTCAAAACTCCGTCCTCCACCCGCATTGCTGGCAACGCACTTGAAATACCGAGTCTTGCCATCCGTTTCAATCTGTTGGTATTTCTCGACGCATGCATTCTCCTCTCCAGTCCTGATACGATGCTCAAGAGGGATGTGATTGTAATTGCAATGTTTTGCTCGGAGATCAGCAATGGATTTGCTGGATGTGGCCTACGTATCAAGCACCAACGGTCCTTTCACAGGAAAAGAAGATCCACAAAACATCCGTGAAGGATGCAAAACGTAGTGACTAGATCAGGATTGGTACGAGAACAACACAGAAAACCGGCTTGGATGCAAAACGTGCTCACACTCAACCCTGAGAAAGAGGCGGGCCGTCATGGGTCATTCTGGCCATAAGGAACCAAACTGGGAACCAATTTGCATATCTGCTTTGCAGCACAGTCACAGAGTAAGGTAGCATCCACTGATCTCAAAAGAGATCACATTAAAGGAACAAAATGCTTTTCATGGAAAGGCAAACTTAATGAAACATATCTAGGGAACCAAGCTTTGTACAGTTATACACTGGTGCTCAGTTGGTGACCCCGTGAGAACATGACCGTTCAAGTATCCACACGATGCAGGGAGTAGCGCAGAAGTTCGGATTCAAGTCTAGACACAGCTTAAGGAGAAGCTACAGCCTTTCTGAGTTCGCAAGAGAGTTGCTGGGTCAATGGAGCTAAGGAGTTCGCTATTCGCTGCACTCAAGGTGAAGACTGAACCACTCAACCACTTTAACGCCCCATGAGGTATTGAAGTCGATTTTAACTTGTAAGTTACAATGTGACGGCAACAACACATTATATTTAAAACTAGCACAAATGTAACACTTTTCAGCTGGTTTACCCCCGACGCATGTTCCTATATGTTCCTATACTATGCCGAGAAGCGTGCCACTGTATTCATCACAGCGCCAAACGCCCTTGCTAGCTGACAACCGATCTTCATGGCACAAAGGCCTGAGAAAGAAACGACAAACGACATGAATGACAGGGACCTAGACACCCGGTCGGGTGAGCTTGAATACCTCTTGACTGGCCGTAACTGACCCAGCCGCTTTTTCAAAGCAATGGTATATGCACAAATGTTATATAAACATACCGTACCATACGAAACGATATAAGCATTCTGGACCAGGTGACATGTATATACAAGACTCAATTTCGCTGATAACATATCAAACCAGGATTCTGCAACATCGAGATCAGTATACTAGTATGCTACTCTCGCTGTCTCATACGTCACCATATTTGATAAAAACATATAAAAGCCACGTTGCGCGTTTCATAGCAACTCCATCACCTATTTAGCCTCCCTCACAGTGTTGAAGGATATTCAAAGGTCATTGACACCACTCACAAGTTTAGACTAAGTGTAGCTGTCCCTTTGGGTGTAAACCTGAGAAGGTGATCATCCAGCCACTTATCTCCCCAACATCCACTTCTACTCTCTCTCATTCTCTCCTCTTTGACCCATCCATCCGTCCGTCCGTCCGTCTGTCCGTCCATCCATGCATCCATCCACCCACCCACCCACCCACCCACATAGCCATTTAGGACTTGCTCCCTTTTCATCCATGAATCCCACCATCCGTCATGCTCAGCCAACCATCAAACCTGCCCATCATCAATCATCAATGATCACGAAGACCCCAATATCAACACTTTTTCACACTCTCAGCCTTGCCCCATGTTATTTGGCCCACCCGTGCCATATTTGGGACTCTTCCCCCCTACAACCCCCTATCTCAGTGGCCGACCTTACTAGTATCTAGACTCTGGACTTACCCTCCAGCACAAATGCAATTCTATGCAATTCTGCAAATTAGTGGCAGTTCGAGTTTCTCACAGCAATAAGCACCAGCTGCGTCGGCGGCACCCCAACTGCGGTATCCTATGCCTGGCACCATCGCTTCCCCGTATGTCAAGCATGATCATACTGGGAAACCAAAAAAGACTACAGTAAAAGGTTGCAGTAAACATAAATCTTGCAGGGCCCAACCTGTGCCACAATGTTGATGTGTCCTGTCGAACCAGTAGCCCTTGAAGTCTTTCATCCATCCAGCCTTGCCTCAGATGGTGGTGAAGTCTAAGAAGAACAACTATATATACACTGACAGTACGGGGACAGAATGTGGAATCAATCAGCATGGATCATATTTGGGCTCACCCCTCAGTTCCGAGTGGCATTTTGTGCCACCTCTTACACTCTCACACGCATGGAGGGAATCAATTCAACGTGACCTAGTAATGAATGCACAAGATCCCATGCTTTGCAAGTCTGTCGCTATGTTCATGCACAATTATTTGCCAGACACACTCGCTGTGGAACTCAATCTCCGATCTGTAGCAAAGTCGTCGGTATCCAGACTTCTTGCAGGCATTCCTCAGACTCTTTTGTTGTGAAAACGCAATTAGCAAGCTGCCTTCCAAAAAAAGAGCATCCTTGTACTGTCTGTTTCAAGGAAAAACATTTTGCCGCGTGCTTTCCTGTTCACACACACTTTCGTGATATTCGTGATCTCACACTCCTGTGCCTATGGCGATCTGGGAATACCAAAAGTGCTTTTGGTCCTAATATCTCCTATATTTACTGCCAGCAGCATGTTCCAACGTCCTCAGTACCAGTACCCACCAAGCGAGGGGCTCTGCATCATCCCGGGTGGTGTAGACATAAGGCATGGCTGATGGATCACCTTTGCATGGAAACTATTCAGGTTCCGATCTAATTACTAGTAACAAGGGCGGCATTACTATTAGTAGCAAGAAGCTATTGGGAGCAAAGGGCATCGCTACTAGGAGCAAGGACGCTACTAGGGGCTCCTGGCCTTACTACTAGGAACAAGAAGCTACTAGTAGCTCCGAAGACTGGGCCGTTCCGATCGCCCAGTTGCTGAGTTTGCCAACGAACTTTATGTTGTCCTTAGGGCTGCAGCAGTATGCACCCACCTGGGACAGTAGTTGCATCCCCGACAGTGTGTATATACATGGAAAATCTCAAGATACACAGAACAACATAGGATACAGGATGGAAGGATGCGTCAAGCGAACACTTCAAGCCTGTCAGCTGGTTGCGCTACACATGCTGGGACTCTCTATTACCGCGTTTACCTGGAGGAGAACAGCAAAACCTTGGGATAGATCAAATAAATGTACTGGATGCACCTTGCCATTGCCCCAGCCGCGATAGCCGACACCATGCCCACAGCCGCTTTTCGTGCGATCAAACCAGTATCCTTTGTAGTCCGCCAACCATCCAGCAGCGCACTTTGCAAAGCCTCAACACAAGACAATTCCAAATTGAACAAGAATCCAAACATTCGGCTTTGCGGGGAATGGAGGACTTTTACTGTAGATCCTTTGGTCTTGGACACGCCTGCCCCAGGTTTGCCAAACAAGGAGTAAAGGAGGAACTCCAAAAAATCTGCTGCCTATCCACCCTGAATCCCCTTATCAAAGCTAAAGCATGATCAAGGTTTTTGCACTGATATGGAGTCCTCACTCTAAGTCCAGCATCACAGTTTATATAACTACCATTTAATGATCTGTTGGCCAGGTCTAAGCATGTTGCGGTAGCACTTAGCACCTATGTTGCTAGCTGGGCTCACTTGACTCAAGTCCTGAACCACTTGACTCAAGTCCCGGAGCCTTCGATTTCAAACTTTCGACAAAGTCGTTGGTAGCCAGCAGTGCTGCATGCTTTCTCGGCATCAGTCTTTGTCTCATAGACCTTAACCAAGTCTCAGGCGGCTTTGCCTTTGCAGTTGACCAAAAAAACCTTGCTGTCTCCAAGCGACATACGGATGAGCTTTAGGATTGCTCAAGGAGCCGATGTATTGAACATTGGACGCAAGGTTACAGCAGTAGGCTCCCACCTAGCAAGCAAGTCTTGAACCACAACATGAGTTGCACTTGTCTCAAGAACGAACGACAATCCAAGGCATTGAGGTCAATTTCATTCAATTTCCTTTAGCAGGCAATCATGCCTCAAACTTCAACTTGAGAGGAGGGAGACACGAAAGGTAGGACAGCGGGAAGAGAAGAGAACGCGAGAGGCAGGAACAAAAATGCAATGTTCGACATGGTGATTTGTCCCCTCGGAGGCGACCTGTCGTAAATATATGTTAATATGCACTCTAAATGTTCAAACATATGCTCTCGAAATGTTCAAAAAGATTCTGAGGAAAACAAACTTGCCCCATGGCTCAGATCATCGGTGAGCATTGAATCGGAGCATCATAGGAGTTGAACTATCCTGAAACCATAAGAGGCTCACGAAGACGTTCCCCAGGAGAGAATTGACGTGCTTCACAAAACAAACTCTAGGTATGTATCCCCTCGGGGAACACCTTTCGTGATTATGCACTCTTTCTGAATGTTCAAGAGGGTTTCAACTATCCTGAAATCATGAGAGGCTCACGAAGACGTTCTCCAGGAGAGAATTGAATTTAGAGGGGGGGGGGTCTGTATTGAAAAATTAATTCGAGGGGGGGGGGGTCTGTATGGAAAATCAAATTGGAGAGGGGGGGGGGGGGGGGGGGGTTGAATTGAATGATCAATTATTAGACCCGGACGTCCCAACACTTGCTTCGCAAGACAAACTCAAGGTATCCCCTAAAGGGCTACCTTTCGTGAACACTGGCAAAAGCTGGAAGAATGCCATTCCTCAACTAAAGAGCCTCGACAGGATATTACATATACGATCAGCAGAATGCTCCTTCACCATTTTTGCAAGGCTTGGTTCCATCTGCAGTCAAGGTCAAAAAGTGAAGTATTATGAAGTATTGAAGTATTCAAGAAGTAGAAGTGACGTTTCCAAACGCTTCATGCCCCGTCCTTTACATCTCCAACAATCCAGTTTGCTAGCCATGTGATTTGTCAATAGCTGGCACCATGCTCACCCCAAGGAGTCCGCCAGCTTAGAAACCAAACCAGGCCTTTCCAGCGCCCCAGCCAGCCCAGCCAGGCTGGTTCACACACCCTGCCAGTTTCTTGTGGAACCAATAGCCCTTGTAGTCCTCAGCTTGGGAATTTCAATACAAGATTTATCAAAGGCTGAGCCGATGAGCCGGTGGGGCGAACGTGACATATACGACGTATGCCATGCTTGCTGTTACTCGCTGTCAAAAGAGTGTTCTTTGCCGTTGTCGCTTTTTTGTTATTCCTGCGATGTGGAGTTGGCGGACGTTGGTACCATGATGTGATTTTGGCCCCTTAATCAGCAAGCAGGAGCTGCTGAGGAATTGTCAACTCAGTGCTCTGTGCTCACACATGAAAACAGGAGCCACTGTTGCAAATGTACAGGCTGACACTGGTTGAGCAGTGGTTTCAGTGAAGCGGAGATTTGTCTCATCTATTCGGCTCATTCTTGCTTCATCTCCAGGCACTCAAATCATGTACTGTAATTGTATTGACATATTTGTTGGTTCTAGAACAAATCTTGCCTTCAACAATTTGTGGAGAATGTAGATGCATTTTGCATTCAGTGATTCGTTCCGAAGGTCTTGCAACTAGAACCAAGCTGCTGTTACTAGCTGACACGGACTTCCAATTGAAGTTCGAGGCCCTTTCAATTGATGTACGGCCCTTGACATGGCTAAAAACTCTTGCTGGCGGCACCCACAGTACATTTGCAATGTCAACCTTGCTTTTGCATTTTTTGCCCGGAAAACAACATAAAACAACAAGTTTGCTGGTTGATGACAGCTGGAACAACTAGAGCGGCAAACAAAAAGAAACAACTTGAGGAGGACTCAGGAGGACGGCCTCTTCGAGAACAATTCCGATCCAAGCTACCCATCACAACATTCACAACAAAGTTCCAAAACTGCGCTTTCCTCTGAAATATTGCAAACAATTACAAGTATTACACCATAATATCACATGGAATATCACATGGAAAAAAACACAAAGTCTTGTCATTCATCATTCGCTCTGCTGAGCAAAAATCTCTGAACAACTGGCCAGTGCGGGTTCATTGGGGAGTCAAGGTTCGCTGTACCAGCCAGCGGCGCACCTCGAATAGCCTGCGTGGGACAAGAGTACAAAAAGGGTTTGTTCAATTACTTTTATGTCGGAACAGCATCTCTCAACTTTCTGCGGTTTGCGCTTTGCTGAAATGTCTCCACCAGCAACTACATTGCTTGCTTGCGCCTTCCTCATACAATGCAGCAAACTGCTGGCACATGTCATGTCTCCGGATGCTACTAAACTTAGGGATAAAACGCAAACCTGTCAGGGAAGGGAAACTTCTCCGTCATAAACCTCAATAGACATGTTCCAGCGATCAGCCGCATGACTCGAAAGTGGGCTGCACTGTCTTTGGGGAGGTACAAGTAGCTGCCAAAAGGTTTCGTTGGCCAAAGCTCAGTCGATCAGTTGCGAAGGAACCTACAATTTCTCACAATGCTAAAACTGTGTCCTGCCTCCAGCCTGCCCCTTCCTGCAAAGACCATGATATCCAGCTGCTTTGCACGCTTTCTCGGCATCCGACCGCGTATCATACACATATGGATGAGCAGCCGTATCCTCAGCATAGACCCATTGACACCGTTGCACAAACTCGAGGAATGATTGCTGCCTTCCTTCGAGTCCGTCACACGCAAAACCCAAAATCGATCTGCCAAGCCCAAGCAACATGAATGGAGCCGATGTATTGGATGTTGTTCACCGTTGGGGCACAGCAATATGCCCCAACTTTACCAGCACCCCAGCCCCTGCGCATGGATTGCAAATACCCGACATAATCTTTTCCAGCTAGCAGCTAGCAGGACAAAATCAAGCCGGTGATCGTGGCGGGCACTCCAATATGATCTGAAGAACCATTTTGACAATAGGCTTCTTCAGGCTACTTTGCTGTCCCGAGCAAAACATGGGCATAGCAAAAAATACGCTTCAGCAAGCTTCACTACATGAATCGTGCTCACAGAAACACAAGTATCACTATCACATTTGCTTGCAAGCATGCTCAGCAAGCAAACTCTTCTCCTCGATCCCAGACTTCAAGAACTGCATATGAGTGGTGGACAAAACTTTGTGTCCCAACGCCAAAAGGATTTTCGGTTGGCCCCTATTGGTTTTCAGTGTCTTGATGCAGGCAATGAGCAATTTTCAATCAAGGAAGGGTATCCGTGTAGGGTTGGCCCGACCGGTTGTGCAAGGTCTCATTTGTCCTCTTGAAGTTCTTGAAGGTCTGCCTTTTTCTAGGCAATCCATGATCTTTGCCATACACTCACTAACAGTCCTTTGTCTTCCTAAATGTTTTCTTTCCAGGAAACCTATGACATTTCTAAGTATAGACAAGTACACAAATATCAGCAAGGACATACCCTTATAAAGGTACACCCTAAGAAATTTGGGGGTTCCAAAATAGGGTCAGTGGAAGTGCAGATTCGTAGCACGTGCAGCACTTGGTGGACCTTGAAGTGACCTGGAAGTGCAAAGTGCAGCACTTGGTGGTGCGGATTTCGGGGCAGGTGCAGTACTTGCATGGTGGACGGTGGACCTTCAAGCGCAGATTTCCTGGGTAAGTGAAGGATTAATTACTGTAATGATTTACAACGCAACCCATTCCAAATCTTAGCCAGGGAGCCATTTTGTCAGCAGGGTGTCAGACTTTTTCGGAACCAGCCAGAGCAGGAGACAGGGTCGAAACAATGAACAGGGTTGACAACCAGGGTGGACAGAAAGGGCGGAAAGACAGGACAGGACAGACAGGGTTGAAGGACAGGACAAGACAGACATGTGGCTGGGCAGACAGGGTGGAGTCAGAAGGCTGCGACTTGCAGCCACCAGAGAGCCAGGGTCGGGAGCAAGGGGCAGGCAGTGCAGAGAGCCACATCCGCACACTGTGCGTGGGCCCAAGACAGAAAGCGGGGCCTTCGGAGTCTGCGAAGAGGCAGGCAGAGAGGCAGCCATGTCCTGGTCTGGAGAGAGCGAAGCGGCGGCAGGGAGCGGGCAGGCAGAGTGAGCAGACGCGGAGGAAGGCAGCGCGGCAGGCGGCCCATGCGAGGCAGCTGACGGAACAGGCAGAAGTTTTTTTTCTTCAAAGGACAAGGACATGGATCCGTTCTTTAAAGAACAATAATTAACTAATTAGGTGTGTCTGGGACGTGTGGATATACATCTGTAGTAAAACTGATATCGAAAGTGTGCCAAAAACCGGCCATGGTAAAAAAAACATATATATATATAATATACATATAATTATCCGCGGCATGTTTGTTGGATTGGGGCAAGAGGATATCAACCTGCCCAGTGCCAGACAAACAGCCAAACGGCCCACCACACGGCAGAAACGACAGGGAGGCAGGCAGCAGAGGGTGGGAGAAGCAGGGTCTCGACGACGACGCCGCCGACGACGACTACTACGACTAACTACTACCACTACCACTACCACTACGACTACGACTACGACTACGACTACCACTACGACTACCACTACGACTACGACTACTACTACTACTACTACTACCTACTAACTAACTAACTAACTAACTAACTAACTAACTACTAACTACTAACTACTACCTACTACTTACTACTTACTACTTACTACTTAACTACTACCTACTACCTACTACCTACTACCTACTCCTACTACCACTACTACGACTACCACTACCTACTACCACTACCACTACCACTACCACTACCACTACTACTACTACTACTACTACTACGACTACGACTACGACTAGGACTACCACCTACCACCTACGACCTACGACCTACTACCTACTACTACTACTGCTACTACTACTACTACGACGACTATGACTACCACTACCACTACGACTACCACTGCTACTACTACTACTACTACTACTACTAGGTCAAGAGGGAGTTTTTGGGGAACCTAAAAAGAAACTCCTCCAAAATCGGCCATGTTGGTAGTTTAGTAGCGGCTTGAAAGGGCGGCAATTAACAAACACATATAAACCGTATTTAGGGGTTTCCGACATGGTTTTTTTCTATTAGGGGTCCGTTTTTTAATAGGTACTCGGGATTATTGGCCTGAAGCCTCTCGAAATATGCAAACATTGCAGCTAGACTCAGTCAACATAGAGACTTCTTTTTGGTTTGTTGAACAAGGTTCGCAAAGCAACCCCCCTCAGCCCCTCAGCAAGCAGAAAACACAATTGAAAAGGTTTATCTAGAGTCTAGAGTGTGGGCTCATTCGGTGAACAACTTTTTCTAGGGTGTTTTTGGCCTCGACCAAGGCCAACAATTACACTGGGGTGCCAAAAGTTGCGCTTCTTGACTTCTAAAACATCACAAACCCTTCCCCTTAGAATCCTACGTGCGACATGTCGACACCTCAGTTGCGGTCAGATT